GTTGTGTGCCGTGGACTTGTGTTCCCGCGAGGGGGCGTGTCCTTTCTCGCGCCGGCGGTGTCCCCGCGGGTCCGCGTCTCCACGCGGCTGTGAGAAAGGAAGGCGTGTGCCGCGTGGGACGGGCTCCACCTGCCTGCGGACAGATGGTGGGTCACTTTGTTCCGAGGAGACCCAGGCACCCGAGGGAGGATGTGAAACGGAACGACCCGTTTCGGTGCGGTTGGCTTTGTTTATTTGCCTCCTCCCCAGACGCCTCCAGCCCCTGATGTCGACGCACCCTGTGAGGAAGCAAACGGCTGCCTCCGCCACTGCCACCAGACGAGGTCGCCTGCCCCGCGCCGGACAGGCCGGACGGGCTGCGCACCTGCGGCGGCCGACTGTTTCGTGGGCCTTGTACGCCACCTTGCAGAAGGGGAACCTAGCTCTGAGGTTTTGATGATAGAAGCTCATTTACTTGTGTTTTAAAGCCCACAAACGCCGTAGTGACTAATTTATTCATTCAGCAAATGTCTCTCAGAGCGTCTATTACGTACCAATCATGTAGCCTGGACTTCATGCCTGTCCTCATGGAGCTTGCAGAGCACCTCTGAAATACACAGCACATACAGAATGGCCATATTTTCTGGGCTGTAAAATACTTTAAAGTGTAACTCCATATATTGAATAGATTTTCAGTAATGAAGGAAGAAACAATACATTTAGTTCATATAATCCGTATATATGAAAAAACAAAAGTGCTGGTAATTCCAGACATGGAAGTCAGTAAAACCTAGGAGCTAAAAGGTAATAATCATAGACATTATGATTCTAAGCCTTTATTAAACTGTTCTAAACCAGACTGGGTAAGCACACCAGCAATGAATAGATTAAGGGTGTTATCTCCTCAGCAGCTTATTTCAAATTGCATCAAGGCAGGGCCATTAAACTAAGGTGAGAATGATATGGGCGGAATTCAGAGGATAATAGGTAAAAGATGAAAAACTTTACATTTAAAATCTTACTGAGACAGATCTTGGTCTGTGTCTACTCATACATAGAATTGCCTAGAAGCTCATATTTGAATTTACCGTATTACTCTTGGCTTTCTATTTTTCTCGTTTGTTCTGTTTCTTTTCTGTCCTTTTGTGCCTTCTTGTAGATTATTTTTAATTCCACTCCCTTCTAACAATTAGGTTGTTATACATTCGTTATGCTTTTAGTAGTACTTCAGTTATTTATTGCTGTGTTCAAACTACCCCCAAAATATAATGACTTAAAACAATGGCTCTTTTATTTGCTCATGATTCTGAATTCTCTGGCACAGGAATTCAGTCAGGACATAGTACAGGTGGTTCATTTCTGCTCCATAATGTCTGGGGCTTCAATTAGTGTGGGCATAATGGGGCCTGGCTGGAATGGCTTAACTAGGGTCATAAGTCTTGGGACTTGAGGATGGAGATGGAGTTTCATGACAAAAATGAACGTGAACATGATGTGGAAAATATGGAGATGGAAGCCACAAGCTAAGGATGCTGGAACAGAAAGAAGTCTGTTAGCTATATACCTTGGTTTTTCTCTACATGGCTTCTCCATATGGCTAATTTAGGCTTCCTCACAGCATCATAATCTTAGGATTGCAAGAGGGGACATTCCAAAAAGACAAGCCTCAATGTGCAAGCCTTTACTTTTATCATGCTTACTAATGTGTCACTGGCCAAAGCAAGTCACATGGCCAAGCTCAGCGTCAGTGTGGGAAGGAACTACACAAGATTGTGAATATTGGGAGGTGTGACATATTGGTAGTCATTTAGATTAGGGACAGACCACCTTAATCCAATCGGAGAATAATTAAAAGTTACTTCCAGGGTATAACCCAGTTCCAACTTAAAATCTTTTCTTCTTAGGTCCTGAACTCAAAATTTTTACCCGCCCAATCCCACACCCACTCCCCTTGAGGCAGTTGAAAACTCTGGCTAGTTTCTCAGCCTCTCTCCACTACTGCTTTCTGAATGTTAATTGCCTCAAAGGGAAAAATGGCACCAAACTCTGAACTCAAAATCTTGGATTTAGGCTCCTCAGACTGCTGAAGTTTTACTGCTCCAGAAAAGGTATCCTCTACAATCTCTACCTTGGATGTGGCCCATCTTTTTTTGAAAGAGGGATGACAATGTGCCTACCTGAAAAATTCATTTCCCTAGATCCCTTGCAGTTATGGATGGCTGTGAGATACACTTCTAGACACATGCTTGAGATTTCTAGAAAAGCATTTCCTTTCCTAATACAGAGTCACCCCTTGAATTTCTTCCTTTTGTTCTTTCTTCTAGAATAATAACAGGATGGAGATGGAGTTTCATGACAAAAATGAAGGTGAATATGATGTGGAAAATATAAAGATGGAAGCAACAAACTAAGGATGCTGGGGCAGAAAGATAGAAGGAAACTGGGTCACTCATAACATCTTGAAACTGCTGTAGCCATCCTAGACTGGCTGCCTCTAGACTTAATATGTTTAAAAAGTAAATCCCAATTTTATTAAACTTGCCTGTTCTGTATAGATGAACACATTCTTAGCTAATAAACTATCATGTCTCCTAACTAGTCTTCTTCTAGGCTCTGCCAGTTAGATAGTAATGTGAGTTGGTATGTCAGACATAGAAGAACAGTCACAAATACAACTCCTGTAACGTTTCCTGATAATTCTGTAAATATACCAAATTATTGTAAGATTAAGAAACATGTTAATTAAAGAAAAACAGGAAGTAGAAGAAATAACAATGCCCATAGTTGAACCTTTTAAAGTCTCATTTTGGCCACGCAGTGGCTCATGCCTGTAATCGCAGCACTTTGGGAAGCTAAGGCGGGAGGATCAGTTGAGGACAGGAGTTTCAGAGCAGCCTGGCCAACATGGTAAGACCCCCATCTCTATGGAAAAAAAATTTTTATTAGCTGGGCACGGTGGCATGCACCTCTAGTCCCTTGTACTTGGAAGCTGAGGAAGGGGGATTGCTTGAGCCCAAGAGGTCAAGGCTGCAGTGAGCTATGGTCACACCATTGCACTCCAGCCTGGGTAACAGAACAAAACCCTGTCTCTAAATCTCATTTTAACACTTTGATACAGTTATGATCTGTCTTATTTATTCAAGGTATTTTTCTATATTTTACCTAACATGTCATAAACAGCTTTCCATGTTAATATTGTCTTTTAAACAAATAGCTGTTTAATGTTCCAAGTAATTATATTCTTTGCTTATCTAGTTCATTCTCATTGCACATGTCAATTCACTTTTTTTCATAACTTATTCACTGCATATCTACTACATTCCAGTAACTGGACTAAATATTTTAAGTACACATAGATGAATAAGATGTGGTTCCTCCCTGAGCACTCTTCAAAACTACAAAAGACACATATGTAGATGCAATATATATGTATACATGGCATATGCATGTGTATACTTTTTATATGTGACTCTAAGCTATTTAATTGCCTTTTTTTTAAATTTCTTTTTTTTGAGACAGGATCTTGCTCTGTCCCCTAGGCTGGAGTGCAGTGGCGTAATCTTGACTCACTGCAACCTCCACCTCCAGGTCCAAGTGATTCTCCTGCCTCAGACACCTGAGTAGCTTTGATTACATGTGTGGGCCACCACACTCAGCTGATTTTTGCATTTTTAATAGAGACAGGGTTTCACCATGTTGGCCAGGCTGTTCTCAAACTCCTGGCTTCAAGTAATCCACCTGCCTGGACCTCCCAAAGTGCTAGGACTACAGGCATGAGCCACTGCGCCTGGCCAAATTATCTTTAAATATGCTTATAGAATGGAAATATTTTAATTTCCAATTCCTTTTATTGATAATTTCTGTCATTCTTATCTGCCGGATTTGCCTTTAGCATGACTGATCAGTTATCAGTAGAGTACTTACAATGAACAGTTTATTAATATAAAAGCCATTCCTTCTTACTTGAATTTCAAGTGACCCAAGGCCTCCAGTTTTCATTTTCATTAACAGTAAGTGCTATCAAATGTAAATACCAATATTCTATTGCTTTCTGTTTTCATAATTGTTAATTTCCTAACATCCTTCTTGTGGAAAGATAATCATTTTTTGTTACCACATAAGGAAACAGTGAATAACATGACTCAGAGCAGAATGAAAAACCCGAGATTTGAAAACAAAGGCTTTGTCTTTTAGCTTTGCTGTACTAAAATTCAGTATTTCCCATGCTGTATATGGGAAATACAGCCAACTTGTGTAAATGGCAGACTGACAACTCCTTATCTAAGAGGGCTAAGTCCAAGCTATAATGTTTTCTATGAGTGTATATGTAAGAGTAATTTATTCTTTAACTCAAAATTGCATATGTGCATGTATCTCATATATCTAAAGTGAAAGAGGCTGGATGCAGTGGCTCACAAAGCACTATAATCCCAGTGCTTTGGGAGACCAAGGAAGGAGGATTGCTTGAGGCTAGGGTTTATGACCAGCCTGGAAAACAGTGGGACCCCATCTCTACCAATTTTTTTTTTTTTTTTTTTTTTTTGAGACAGAGTCTTGCTCTGTCACCCAGGCTGGAGTGCAGTGGCGCCATCTCGACTCACTGCAAACTCCGCCTCCCAGGTTCACAGCATTCTCCTGCGTCAGCCTCCAGAGTAGCTGGAACTACAGGCGCCCGCCACCACGCCCAGCTAATTTTTTGAATTGTTTAGCAGAGGCGGGTTTTCACCGTGTTAACCAGGATGATCTCCATCTCCTGACCTCATGATCCGCCCGCCTCGGCCACCCAGAGTGCTGGGATTACAGGCGTGAGCCACCATGCCCGGCTAATAAAATTTTTAAGAAGAAATTAGCCAGGCATGGTGGCATGCACCTATAGTCCCAGCTACAAGGCAGTTGAGGCAGGAAGATCACATGAGCCGAGGAGGTGGCAGTGAGCCATGGCCACATTACTGCAATCCAGCCTGGGTAACAGAGCAAGACCTTGTCTCAATGAATAAATAAATAAATAGTTGCATTACTGCAATCCAGCCTGGGCAACAGAGCAAGACCCTGTATAAATAAACAAGTAAGTAAGTAAGTAAATAAATAAATAAATAAAATGAAACTATTATTATCTAGGCAACTGAAGTACTGTTTTTTGTTTTTTGTTTTTTGTTTCTTGAGATGGAGTCTCACTGTGTCGCCCAGGCGGGAGTGCAGTGGCGTGATCTCCGCTCACTGCAAGCTCCACCGCCTCCCGGATTCACGCCATTCTCCTGCCTCAGCCTCCCTAGAAGCTGGGACTACAGGTGCCCGCCACCATGCCCGGCTACTTTTTTTGTATTTTTAGTAGAGACGGGGTTTTACCGTGTTCGCCAGGATGATCTTGATCTCCTGACCTCGTGATCCGCCCGCCTTGGCCTCCCAAAGTTCTGAGATTACAGGCGTGAGCCACCGCGCCCGGCCGTACTGTTGTTTTTAAACATATAAAATTTATTATTAAAAATAATGTCTTGATGTTGTTATAATGAACTAACTCCTGGAACTTACCCGAAGGAAGATTTCCTATTTCCCTGCACTCGTGGGATTCTAGAACAAGATAACATTTGGACTGTAATTTATTTACTTCTAGTAGGTTTTAAATATGATGTTGGTGGGAGAAGATTAGAAAATGCTCCTAGGGAATATGTCAGGCAGCAAGGTAGGGAATTAATGAATTAAAGGTAACCTCAAAGGTAGGTTGGTTTAGAGCCTGTCATGAACATGCTTTGATAAATGTAAACTTAAAATTCATATTTTCACAAGGTGATGCACCTTGCAGACTATTTCCAAGTTTTAAAAATATCTCTCAGTTATAGTTTCCTCCCTCTTGAAACTCACTTTTTTCTCTGCCTCTGACGAGGCAGCAGAGTGCTTCTGTCTGGGAAAGGTGAGGGTTCCAAGGCCTAGTAGGAAATGAAACAGATAAAGTGTGAATAGGACAAGTTCTAAAATGCTTAAGCAAGATCACAAACTATTCTGATTATCTAAGATTTGCATTTGTAAATTGCCTAGTCATCTGCTTGACTGTTTTGTTTTCTCAAGATCCCTAATAGTCAAGTGTTCTCTTCGATCCCCTTCAGTTTTGGACCTGTTGAGTAATTCTTACAGCACATACTGAAAGTACTGTCTCATCTAACTGGCTTTAGTTCTATATGAGATGATTTCCTCAGAGAAATCCCCAGATGTTTTCCTGATCATTCAATCAATTGATTCAACACACATTTATCTAGTAGTAGTTATGCAATGGTGACAAAGACAGTCTCCATTTGTCAGTTTCTTGTAGGGAAGTCTGTGAACTGACCACCCAGAATCACCTGGGAAAGCCTGCTGCAGATGCCCTAGTCCCACCCTAGTCCTCCTGAATCTCAGAGAACAGGTCAGGAGAATCTGCACTTTGCAAAAATTCTCTAGGCACTACTGTTTTAAGAGCTCATAGTCTTTTAAAACACTTGCGAGTGGGGAGGAGGTGGCTTATGGGTGTGGCCAAGTAGGAAGACAAACACACTAGCATGGTAAGTGCCATAATAGAGATTTACATGCAAGGCCAAATACAGTCAGCCCTCAGCATCTGCACACTCCACATCCACAGATTCATCCAACCATAGATCAAAAATATTTAGGAAAGAAAACAGTAAAAAAATTAATGCAAATAAAAATACAATATAACAACTATTTACATAGCATTTTATTAAGTAGTATAAGTAATCCAGAGATGACTTGAAGTAGATAGGAGGATGTGCATAGGATATGCAAATACTATACCGTTTTCTGTAGGGGACTTGAGCATCCATGGATTTTGGTATCTTGGGAGTTCTGGGATCTTGTGCCTGAGAATACCGAGGGACAGTTGCATAGAGATGATGAATTAAGTCTAACTATATTGTCAGAGAAGAGGATTACCATCAGCAGATTTCTTGAAGTAGCTAGAAGTATTATTCTTTAGAATGTTAAGAGACTCAGTTGTTTTTTACTTGGGGTACATCTAAAATCCAATAGAAAAAAAAAATTTAAAACCTCTACTTAAAAATAAGTGAATTCCCAACTAAAATTAAGGATCTTGATAATCGTGTGCAGAGATCATCTGAGTTAACAGCACTTCTACTTGTGTGAATTTATCCTGAGGATATACTTAGAGTTTATGTGCATGGGTTTGGTTGCAAATCTCTTTCCTACAGCAAATAAATTGTGACTGAGTGCTCATTTTCATCCAGCCCCAGACACAGTTCTCTGTGGGAAAGCTTTCTTCTCCCCATTTCTTATACTGTCAAAGACATTCTGGGACATGAAGAGTTCCCATTTTTGCTATTCAGGCACTGAAAAGCCAATACTCTGTTTTTATAGTAAAGAAGGTTTTTGGTTTATTTGTTTTGTTTTCCCCCAGCACAGTAATAGAATTTAGAAATTGAATTCATTAATATTCCTTGGCAGCCTCACTATGCAGTCTCCTGTACACGGCATATGTTTTCATGTTGATGTCCAAATTCAATATGGTGATTTTGGCAGACTGGACATCCTAGCCATTCACTAAAGAGAGATCATTCTGATGCTCACCTGCCTTTTATCTCTGACTCCTC